AAATGGACATCTGCTTGGTTACATGGGAAAGATCGCCTTGAACAGTGCATTGGGGTGCAGGGAGGCAGAGAGAGAAAAAAAACTTCTTAGTCATTTTTTTTTCATACTCTGCCTCTCACCGGTTGAAGCTCACCTCACAGATTATGCACTTCTGGGTTGCATCTCACACCCCTTTAGCATCTGTTTGAGAAGCCAGATCCCACGCCAGCGGGGTGCTTTCTTACCCAAGTCCAGAAGTGGCAGTAGAGGACTGGCCACCAGCTAGTTGGCATCAATTGGCAGTCCTGCCAAGGAATCTATCAGCCATGGAGGCGCATGAGACAGAACAAATGGCTGAGGGCCCAGGATAACATAAGGCCAACAGAGTCTGAGGAGGTGTTTAAGACATGTCAAATTCACAGACCTTCTCCGTGGGTCTGAACATACTGTGCTCCACCAACTCTCTGAGCCCTTACCTTCCATCATGTTCTATAGACACCTTAATTTTTCTTTACTGTATATGAAGTTAAGATGAATTCTCAGCTCCACACCCATCCTTTTTCCATGACTTTTTTTCTGAGATTTTTGTTCTGATTTTCATTTTTGGCTAGAAATAACAATTTTCTGTCTTTAAAGTTGGAATCACAACTGCTATATTCCTAAATTTTCCATGTGCCTTTATTTTTTTAAAGGATAGATTAACCTAGAATAAAACTCTTGAGTCACACTTCCCAATTAAAATACATATATATAGTTTTACTTGAAATCTGGTATTTCAAATGGTACTCCACTATTTTTTACCCTTTCTTTCTCAAAGCTTCTCCAAACAAATGCTAAAGGGGCTGCATGTAGCCAGTAATTAGTCTTGTTTTGTGTTTGTAAAAGAGATCTCTGGTATTCTATTGCCTGAGATTTTCATTTTGAGGAATATCTGCCTGTTTTCTTTATTCCGGGCTGAGTATAATATTCTTAATTCATATTGTTTTTCTCATTATATTTTAGACTATGTTTCACAGATTTATGTAGGTGATAGCATTCAGAGACCATCTTACTTTTTTCCATTTCTTGGTATTTTTTCTCCTGCATGCCTAAATAATTCCTTGTCTTCTGAATGTCTAAATAATTCTTTCTTTACCCTTGGAATTTAAAAACTTAGCCCGGCTACATCTAGTGCTTATTTATTCTGAATCAATATTGTTGAAATGCGGTGTGCTTTGAAATTTGAAGACTCACTTCTTCCTTTATTGCAGGGAAATCATTCCTGGAACCTTTGCCTGTCCCTGCCCAGATCACCAATTTCTATTACTGATAATAGATGACACTTTTTTTAGCCTGATATATTTTAATTATTCTGTATTAGCTTTCTGCATCTTAAAGCATTTTGTTTCAAGTCACAGCTCTTTTGCCACCTAGTTAGCAATTCATACCAGCAACTACTGAAATGAAGAGTACACATGTCTACTAGGCTCATGTCCCATAACAGATTTCTTATCTGCATCACAATGATGTAAGTGGCTAACCACAGAGAGCGGCAAGGTGCACCCCTTAGAGAGAGATTCTAGGTCAAGAACATCATTATTTCACCTAGAACAGCACTACTTCAATATGGTCCAGAAATGCCCAGAGTGATGTTCACCTGGGGGCCTCTTAGAAATAGCAGCTCTCTCCACTGAACCAGAACCTCATGGGGTTGGGTTTGGAACCAGTATCTTACATGCCCTCCAGGTGAGTTTTATCCATGCTCAGGCTGAACAAACACTGATCTAAAATAGTACTCCAGAAATAATAAGGGTTTGAATTAAGAATAAATAGTTATAGAAAAATAAAATAAGTGGTTAGCAGAGGTGATAGATGGCTCAAATCTACAGGATGTGGTGCCTGAACAACAGTGAGAGAGAGTATCGGGAAGCATCAGAGTTGTGCAAAAAAGATACAAATTCAGTCACAGACACATGGGAATTAAGGCAAAGTGAAAATAAAAGTAATATATTTCATCCCAGAAGAAACTCTTAAGCCTAGTGGTATTTCTAGGGGCCATGAGGGCAACATAGAATTAGAACCACCTTAGCAATGGCCAGAACCAGAGCGATAGCCACACGGGAGGGGCAGGAAGAATACATGGAGCCAGCAAAGGAACAGCACCGAGGTAGGAGAAGCAGCAGAGAGACGGTGCTCTGCAAAGCAAGCAAGGAGAAGATCTCCAGATACATGAATGGTCAACACCTCTGTGATTCTGTCTCTGTAGAGGGGATCTGAGTAGCTATTTGGATAAAAGACTCAGTCACTTAGAGAACCCCCGGCATAAACATTCTAAAGGAGCTACCATCTGTCATTTTGACTCCGGATCCGAGAAGACCTTCAAAGAAATAACTTATAAAATATCAGCACAGATAATGGTCAGATAATGTGCTTAGCCCTGGCTGGATTTCCCATGAGAGAGAGATGGGAGTAGCAACAGATCAGACGCAGGACGTGTCTGGAAAAGGCTGTTTGGATCCTCAGGGTAGTAGCCAGCAGGGTAACCCATGCAAGCGGTGGGAAGCACCAGGGACTGCACAATTAACAGAGGTCTATTTCTTGTTGACATTTAGATAATAATGACAAATAAACCAACTTTCAAATGGCCATTGATAGGTTTTCTCCAATTTGTGTTTATTCAAGTAAAGTTAAGATGGGAGAAAATAAACTTATCTCCAAATCTGGATTCCCAAACCCACGATAATAAGCTGATTTTATTATCACGTTAGGAAGTACTATAGCTTGACATTCACTGCGGTAAATGTCGCACTCATGGTCTATCAGCTGAGTATTTATCATTTCCTGGAAAAGGTACAGCATGTGCAATGGGACTGGAAGGAGCCTAGCCATGTGAGCTCAATATCAGCTTTGATATCAAGGAAGATGATTACACAGTCATCCTCAAAGTCCATGACAGGTTCCTGGAAACAGACTTTAAGTGAAACAACATAACAAAACCAAATGCCTATGGCATATTTCTGGTCACAAAAACATCACTAAACTTCTAAATAGAGGCCCAAATATAATTTCTAATATTAAACATTGACATAAATGTGAGCTATATATACATTTAAGAAAGATTAATAAAAATAAGTAAAATGATTCTTTTCTAATCTGCTGATTGTAGTTCAGGGTCATGTGTGGCTGAGCCTCTTCTGGTAGCTCAGGGTGCAGGAGGGACCCACCCTGAACAGGACACCCCTTCATCACAGGGCTGCTCATATACATCCACACTCACTCAGCCTGGACAACTGAGAAGAGCCAGTTTACCTCATGCCTACATCTTTGGGGTGTGGGAGGAAACCAGAACATCTAAAGAAAACTCACGAATATAGGGGGAGAATTGAATTTTTTTCTCATCATTATAATAAAACAAAACCAAATGGCATTATTCCAGGACCTGTTGTACCTGGTGTGCTTTGATTTAACTTTACTAGGGCAAGATATAAATAAAAGGCAATGTAAACATCAGCCTTTTGAATTTTAAAAATCAAAATCTCTAGTCTTTGTGGTCCCTACTGTCAGGAGTTGTGCAGCTCTTAACAGGTTTAATTAAAACTCACTGGGATTTTCAGATATTCTTTTAAATAGTCCATTTTTATAATTCCAAACCTTGGAAATAAAGAAGAAATTTATATGCTGAATCATTAAAAAAAATATATCCTTTAAAACTAAATTTTATTATGAATTAAAACTTGCTAAAGAAAAAATTTCCTTCTAAATGTATTAATCAGTGCCCTCAGATATAAATGAGAAGATCCAGAACTCGGCTGAGACATGACATTCGTAATTTATAGAAGTCCTGAAGTTAGAATTACCCAACTAGTCTAAACAAACTTAAATGGCATCTGTGTATCTGGCCGCCAGTGAATCTCTGTGTCTGCCTGAGTCTGCATGTGGTTTGCAGCAGGACTCTCTTTAGGACCCAAGTATCCATGGTTGTTCCCTGCTGGAAGGGACCTTCACCCACTGCAGACTCCTCTTCCCCTGAGTTTAACAAACACCCTGACTAGTAAGACATGGAAACTGCAGAAATATTCCATGTATGGACTCTTCCCCCATATCCCAACCCGTGACTCGAGGGAGCAATACCATGTATGTCATGATTCAATTTGTAAATAGGCAGTAGAATAAAACAGCAAAAAATAAGGTTTGTAAAACAAAAAGTGAATCTCTGAAAGACATATCTGCTGAATGGCACATAGTGTCTCATTACAGGATCACAACTGCCAACCTGGAGACAGGACAGGACAGCGGGAAACAGCTGGACCTACGCAGCCTGAGCGAATTCCCTGGCTACAGTGTGGTAGGGAGAGAGCATTCCAGACTTGGGCAAGCAAGTTTCTTGAAGGCTGTACTGCTTAAAAAGCCATGGATGTTGACTATAATTTCACCTCAGATCTATAATTTACCTAAGTTGGTCTATTTTGATTTGATTTAGATTCTGTTCAAACATATAGTACATATTTCATTCCCGTGAGCAAGTTTAAGTAGTGGTAGAACAAATTGCTCATTGCTATGGACTAAATGTGTGTGTCTTCCCAAATTTCATGTGGAAGCCCTAGTCTCCAAAGCAATGATTTTTGGAAGTGGGGCTTTTGGGAGATAATGAGGTCCTGAGGGTGGAGTCCTCATGTATAGGATGAGGGCCCTTATAAGAAGAGACTTGAGAGAGATGATCTCTGTCTGCACCATGTGAGGACACAGCAAGAAGATGGCCATCTATAAGCCAGGAAGGGGGCTCTTGCCAAGAGGGCAGAAGCTTCTAAGATAATATTTCACTCAGCAATGTACCCCAACAAATTCCATTGTCTTAAGTTATTCAAATTAAAACTTGCCAAAAAAGACTTACTTTAAAGGAAGTTAAAGAACAACAGGTAAGAAATGAAACATTGCTTTTCCAATTAAAATTACGACTAATATAGTAAAAAAAAGAGAGAAAAGTCAAGATTTCTCAAAAGCAGCACAGAGGGTGAGGAAGGAAGGTAAGGGAGAGCTCCTACCTGTGGCCAAGTAGATGGTGTGGATGAGGGCATCCCTGCCCTGTACCAGGTCCACGACCACGTGGGAAAAGCGGCTGTTGTCCTCCATGAAGGAGGGCACTGCAGTCACCGGCTGCACCACCTCCTGCATCAGTATGAACTTCTGAGCATCCTGCAGGTTCCTTTCCGTCAGGTTCACGTACATTCCCTGGTCCACTGTGCCGCACTGCAAGGGAAAACAGGCCGTTGCTGGAGCCACCACCTGGACACCCATTGATCCCGGCCACCCAGCTGGGGGCTGACTTGGACAGTAACTGAATTGTGCAAACATGCCCACGCCTCCATTGTCCTCCAAGTCCCCACCCTCAGTGTCTCTCTCCATTTAGACTTGAATTTACATTTGAGGAGTCTCTCAACTTCATCATAAATGGCTGATCAGAAGTGGAAGGCATTGCTAACTTTAATTTGAACAGTGTATGCACAAGAAGTCCACATCGTTGCTGAGGCACTTGGGAGCCGTCTGGCTAAAGGCACCCTCTTCTATCTGTCCGCCAGGCAGGTGCCCAGATGGAAAGCGCAGCCAGCAAGTACATCACGCAGATGTGCTAGTCTTCTTGCTGGGGCAGCGACATGGATTCCATGGAGAGAGAATTAGGCCACTTCAATCTGAAAACTGTGTGATTTTACTCTAATGTCTTTCTCAAGGGCTGCGAGAACCTGTGCTGGACTTACTGCTTTGTGCTCATACTCTAAGCTAGAAGGAAAACAAAGCTGTTTATAGAGCCTAGGAAGATGAGAAATAACCTGGCGGATCTGCAAAAGGAGAGGGAATAAAGAGGGACCAGA